GGCTCCTTTAAAAAAAAAAAAAAATCATTAACATGATTTGTATGTAATTAATCTCATTTTTATAAATGATTAAGGAATAACCATTCTATCAACTAAACAGACCTCTAAGAATAAGAGCATTAAACTTGCAGAATTCAGATTTCAGTCTTATTTCTGTTGCAACTGGCTTCTTGTTCATTCCTTACAAACTAGATGCTGGAATCAAACAAGCAAAACACCAAAATGATACAATAAAACACACATAAATCATAATTTAGTGCACATAAATCAGAACTCAGATTGTAGTCCTATCTAGTTTCATAGCGAGCTGTAGTTAGCTCTTCTTACAATGGAAGATGCAAACCACACAAACAGATTTTGATTTGTTATTTGTTATTATCATTACACCAGCAAGACATAATAGATAAGTTGAGTCCTCGAAGTGTGAAGAAGCATGTTGAAACTTAAAACAACCTCCTCAGATGATTTACTCTGTTATTTTCAGTGAAGTAATGCAACATGCTGGTGTGAAATGGTTATGTTGAAATTATGGGTGTACATAATTATTTGGACTATGATTGTGTTAAAAAAAATTACTTATTTGGACAGTATGATTCAAAGAACCCTATAATTCTTACCTTATTATGTGTTTAGCACAAAAAAGGTTATAAAGCTATGAAAGTCTAATCTAAGGAAGATGGGCAGTTTGGAAATTTTGAACTGAAAGGTACAGTGGGCCAGATGGTTTGATCTTGGAATTCAACAATACAATTTGGACTATGATTGTGTCAAAGAAAATTACTTATTTGAACAATATGATTCAAAGAACCCTATAATTCTTATCTTACTATGTGTTTAGCACAAAAAAGGTTATAAAGCTATGAAAGTCTAATCTAAGGAAGATGGACAGTTCGGAAATTTTGAACTGAAAGGTACAGTGGACCATATGGTTTGATCTTAGAATTCAACAATACAAATCAGAGTGTGGAACACGCTCAAGTTAACTTAAAAGAAATGGAAGATCATTGACTTGTTGACCTGCCTACTCTGGTCTCTTTCTCTCAAGCTAGAAAACAAGACAGAATTGAATTAATCAACTTTGGAAATTTTAGTTTCCTCTCTCGGAAGCATCCATGCAAATACAAAACGAAGACTTGATCTTTGATTTATGAGCAGGAGCTCCTTAAATCAAAATCCTTAAAGAAAAATGAAATTTATGTTTACCCAAAACCATTATATTCACTTAGAGTAATAAGAACAAAATTAAGATTAATCTACCTGAACAAAAATGAAAATTGGTCCAAATTTTACCTTTTGGTTCAACTGTTTGAGTTTCGGAACCTTTCTGCTTATGTATACTGCTTATGCATATAAATAGCTGCAATGGAACACATAGATTGAACAATGCTAACAGGGAACATAAAAGAATTAAAAATGATGCGTTTATTTATTGTAGGTACACCATAGAAGATATCTTCTCCAGATTCTGACGTCAAGACCATTGAGTTGTTAAGATAAATAAGATCGGAATTCATTGTAGGCAGCTTGTATATATAAATGGATAACTTCGTGATCACCACGAGTCAAGAAAGAATCTAATTAATTTATTGTAAGTAGACTATGTATGTAAGGACAACTTGGTGACCACCATAAGTTGGAATTTTCTCCGGATTCTTTATATCTCCTGTCGTGTGCTTTTTTTCTAAAAGATATTGGATTGTAGAACTTAGTAACGTGCACTGAATTCTTCTAAAGGAAAGTAAATAAAAAAAGGTAAGAGCGTGACGAAACATAAATACTACCACACTGTTTTCTATTTTTCCCGATCTAGCCAGAAAGGAAGAACCTAGCCCAAATTCTACTTTTACACATGGACTTAATCTAGCCAAAAAAGAAAAACCTTTTTTATAAGTCGCAATAATATCTTAAAGTAAACCCATCATTCAACAAAGTATAAAAGCAAGTTCATGAGCAGCTCAATCATACTAAATGTTTTTGCTTCCTTAAACCCTTATCTGATTCCAATTATGAAAGTTTCAGAAACCTAGGGCTCCCTCTATATACTAGTAAAACTTTGATATTTCGGCAATGAGGTTTCAGCAACTTTGTATAGGTTTACAGCCAACAACTCTGTACAACAAAAGATACAACCATCAAAACA